TTTTTTACTAGTTTTGTTATTATATTGGACTTGAGCTATAGATGGTTTAATAACTTTTGGATAGCTCACTCGTTTGATGGTCGACTTTTTATGCTAGTAAAATGATTAAATTTGTATAATTTAGCTATTATGCAAATTATACCAATATGCGTGAAGAACTGAAGATGTGTGCCTAATGCCTTTGCATGAGTATGTGTGACTATGTGAGTTTGAATTTGGGTGGTTTTTTTTTTATTGGTCAAATGATATTCTGATCGCATATTCTCTTTTGTGAGGTTTTTTTGTTACCTTGTCAAGTGACAACCCGCGTCTGTCTTTTGTAGGAGCCCAGAGGGACCCATATACTTCAAGAGAGGACCAAGATGGGACCAAGTATCAAGCGAAAATGATGTACATTCCCATTTTCAATGGAGGATTTAAGAAAGATTGCTGCTTTGGGTCGTAATTTGAGAAGCTTCTTCCAAAATCAAGAGCCTCGAGTGTCATTCAAAGTCCAGAAGATCTTAGTGGTGATTAAATTTTGCCAGACCGAACTCACCCAAAGCGAACCACTTTTGGTGAAGATCAACCAGATAAGCTTTAGTCCAAAGACTTGATTCCAAGTAGAGAGCTTCCTTAGCCCAAGTCCACCATGTTTAATGGGTTTGCAGACTGCATCCCAAGACACTTTTGCTCCATGAGCTGTACCCGGTTTTCCATGCCATAAAATTGAGCTAATTAGAGCCTCTAACTTGAACAAGAAGGCTTTAGGGAAAAGAAATGCCGTGAACCAAAAGTTTAGGTGATTTTATTAGTTGGAGACGTCCTGCATAAGAAAGGAACTTGTTTGACCATGCATATAACTTCCTTGAGATTCGATCATAAAGTATTTGAAAGTCATCCTTATCCAGCTTTGTCGAATGCAGAGGTAGTCCGAGATAACGCACCGGGAAAGAACCCGGAGAAAGACCATGAGTGGCAACAATTGCAGTTGTACGCTGATGGTCGTTCCCGCTAAGGAAGAGACTGGTCTTGTGTTTGTTTAGAGCTAGGTCGGAGATGACCTGGAATTCATTAAGGGTCTGAATGATCTTAGAGAGTGAATCTTCTGAG